TTAAACATTTTTTTTTTTTTTTTAATCAGATCAGCATCGCAGTTCTTGATTCAAATTGTGGTTTTGGTGGTAGCCGTGTCCCCTAGGTTGGTCAGGTAATTAGAGGGGGGTGATTTACCTCCCAACCACAGAAGAGGCAAATTACGAAGGAAAAGAGCATTTTAAAGTCTTCCCAGATACAAAGTCGCGTGTGGCCGTCTGTGTGGTGGCATTTGCTCGGTGTAAGCCAAGGTGGAAACCAGGGGCTGGACCCTTCCCATCTCTACTTGTGCAAGCAATCCCTACTTGCCCCTGTAATCCCATTGACCTTGCTTGGCGCGAGGACTTCTCCTGCGAGCGGAGCTTGGCATCCAGCCTCCTGCCTGTCCCACAGCGCGTTTGTGGAGCTGCCTGCGCTTTCCCTGGCGTTTCTTCCCAAAATCAGCTGTTCCTCCAGGGCATTTGTAACGCTGACAGCAAAACCGGGATCTGTTGAATTCCTCTTTCAGGGCAAACACCCCTCCATACAGCTTTCCCATGGGATGGATATCTCCATGCATCCAAGCCGGACAATCCTGTTGCGGTGGAGGGAAGGGTAGCTGAGGTTTGCAACCAAGAACCGTTACGAAATAGCTTCTAGTCTCCGGTGTTAATGCTGTCTTCTTCGTAAAACCACCTGTATTTATTAAATCGCTCCTGTTCAGTGCCCGTTTTGCAGTCTGGCATTTGTCACTTGCCTGGCAATGGAATCACACCAAGTTCTTCTGAAAAGCAGCGTCATCATCTAACCTCGCATTACGCTTTACTGTTTGAATCCCGTTGTTTGCATAACTAACTTGGGCTCAATTCCCTCCCAGGCTGGGGGCTGAGGTGGCTCGGTGCTATGTTTTCCTGGTGTTTGCTGATGTGGAAATGGTGGCTGCCTGCTTGTAGGTGCCCCACTAAACATCCTTGTTGATGTTGGAGACGTGATGATGGTGGTGTGCAAGGGACCGCGGGATGACAGGAATGCACAGCCTAGGTGGGTCGTAGGAGCTGGTGGTAAGACGTGGTGTGGTCACCTTTGATGAAGCACGGGTGAAATCCTCCATCTGGCAAGGGGTGTCACCATGACTTAAGCAACGCTGGCCTGAGTGCAACGTGCTGGTCTAACATGCCAGAGCAAGTGTCTGAATTGATTTAAACAGTGTGTCCTCATGAGAATTGGGTTGTTTTGTACGTGCAGGACCTGTGGCCTGCCCCAACCCTGTTGGAGAGGTGGGAAAACTTCAACGTTACCCCTAGTTCACGGTCTTTAGGAGGAGGTGGCAGCCCTGCTGTGCTCCTTGGTGGATGGACATGGTCCTCGGCAATGTTGTCGCCAACAACTGAGATCAGGAGGGGGCCCAACGGGAGACCAGAGCATGAAATCCTCACTGGCTGGTGGAGCTGGGCTCATGAACCTTTGGGTGCATGGACCAGGCATGGAGGAAAACTCCTTTTAACAAAGGTGTCCAGGTTGTTTCTTGCCTGGTGGACTCCAAATGAGAGGTGTACTGCATGGCAGATGAGATTGGAAAACTTCAAGGAAGAAAAGTAACTTTTTTTTTTAACTAGCTAATTGACATGGACAAGCAAGTATATTTATTTTGCAGGAGTTCTATCTTGTTTTTTCCAAGTTTGAGGGTCTTTTTCATAATGACAGCCAAGCCTTTCCCATTAGGACGGCAAACCCAGTGTGGCTCTGCTGCATATGGCCACGTATGACCCTCAAAAAGCCCTGAGGAGCCTCCTGCTTCTGTGGCTCTTTGGATACCTGCTCAAGCATGGAGGGATGGATATAACCACGTTGTCCACCTCAGATGAGAGACATCTTGCAGAAAGCTACACTGGTGTCTCGGAGCACACCAGGGATGTGGTGACTAAATGTGGTGCGGGGGGCTGTATAGACGGCTGTGAGACCACCTGCAATCCATAGTGCGTTTAAAGGTATTGCTTGATTGTAATGGTAAAATAGAAGTGAGAAGCAAATATGGAGGGAAATCTATATGTTTCTTTATTAGGTGAAGCATACAGCTTAGGAGCGTCATACATGGTGGCTCAGGGGAGCCTCACAGAGCTTTAATGGTTTAACTGGTGAAGAATGTGGGTTGCTGCTAATTCAGTTTGAGCGCAAATGGCTTGGCCTGCTGTGCATGGAGAAGAATATGGAAACCATATTATCTGTGCACAGAAATAGACATTTCAGGTATTGCATAGCGCTATTTAGAAGCCTGCTATAACTTCCTTCCTTCCTTCCTTCCAGCCTGGCCTCGCTGGGCGGCTTCGGTCCCAGCTGCTCGGAGCCGTCAGGACGCGGCGACCTCCTCCGAGCTGCCAGTAAAGGTCAGGCAGGAGCGTAATGGGAGCCGTGCTCCTCCTGCGCTCGCCGGCTGGGGCTCAGACACCGAGGGGTGCCGGGTACGGCCGCTCCGGGCCATGGGGTACAGACCCGATGAGAAGGTATAGCAGGGCCGCTGTATCCATGAAGCGTGGTCCATAGGCTTTTGACATTGAGTGCAGGATGTGCTTCTGCTCCCACCTGTGCAGGCATCCCCTCTCTGACAGCCAGAGGCATGACGGGTGTTCTTGGGACTTCCAGCGTAGTCCCACATCCCATCCCACCAGCCCCGGCTTCAGAGCTGTCGTGGCTTCCTTGCTCCTGCGGTCTTTGCTGGTCGACGTCGATGCCCAAAGGTTCCTGTGGGTCCTCCAGGCATCCAAACACCCATCTGCGCTGATGGTAGCAGAGTGACAGCTCTAAGCTCTTGGTTTTGAAGGACAGCAGGCTTTCTTTGCCCTGTGCATGGGACATTAACTACTTCACATGTTCAGGCCAAAATCTTTATTTCATTTTGGCAGGCTGTCAAGTGTCACAATGAGAGCATCAAAATGACCTAGATTTCTTGTCCTGGGGAGGACTGGCCAGAGGAAGAGACAAGGGCTGGAGGGAGCGGTGATGTCTTTAAGTAAACCAACTGAGGCAGCTGGAAAAAATGGCCAAGCAGGAAGATGCACCAGCTCAAAGGAGGGCTTGTGTGGTTGGTTGGTTTGTTTTTTTCCCCTCCTGACTGTGCCAGCTGGTCTATTAAAAGGTACTACATGTTCCTGCACACCTTGCCTCTTATAATCTTAGGCTGTTGTGGCTCCAGCCCTATGACTGTTGCTGCCACCACAGCTGCAGACAGTCTCCCAG